GCTCCTGTAGGGGAGACCGAGGAGGAAAGTAACAGAGGAGGAAAGTAACAAAGCTTATAACTTTTAAACAAATTATCGGTTAGACATGGTTTAAACATATTTTTAGTCGGCACTGTTCCCCCTTCCTCCTCCATAGTGTGTCCGAGCCTGACAGGAAAGGTTAGATCTGATTCCGGTGTGACGTGCAGAAAAAACGTCAAAAGTAAGTTTTTGTTCAAATTTTCAAATTCTCGTATTTCTTTAATTTTATTGTTTTTCAAAATGTGCCTTTCGTTATTTTGTAGCCTTATTATCTGTCTTTAAGTTGTGCTTAAACAAACAATTTAACAGTTGTGTAGTTTTAACTTTTTTGTTGACATACAAGAAAAAATCGACCGAGGAGGAAAGTAACACGCTACTTTTCTCCTGTTGTCGATATTGTCCATGTTTTAACTAATGATTGAAGCAAATCGTATTTAATGTTACGAATAACAGAGATTTATTTAAGAAAAACCTGTGATCTAGGTAAGCATAAAATATTTTTAAGAAAAAAAATGAGCTAAATTCATAAAATGTTCGAAATATGTTCTAAATATGTCCCAAATATGTGCCAAATAAGTATAAAGTGTACTTAAACTTTTATGTGTTCCTAATAAAAATATTTCTAATTAATAATAGTCATTAGTCTAAAGAATTTTACGTAATTTTATACTGTTACTTTCCTCCTAGGAGCTTGTTACTTTCCTCCTCGGGGGTGAGGAGGAAAGTAACAGATGAAGAGCTTGCGTAAAAGTTATACTGTGAACTGTGAATTTATTATAAATGTTTAATTCAAATTTTATTTAAAAGGTGAATGTCCAAGCTTTCATTTAATATATTGGACAAATTTATCCGACAAATATTTTTAATGCTAGCATAAAAAAACTGATTTTTGTTACTTTCCTCCTCGGTCTCCCCTACAGGAATTTTTAGCTGGGAACTGAGAGATTAAGTTCCAGAATTAGCCCACCTGTCCGAAGTTAATCTAGTTGACGCTACCTTATTTTTTCTATGTTTAAATATGCCTCCATTACATCAATTTTAATTATTATTAGTACTAATTAGTTAAAAATAATTAATATTAACTTTTGAACTATGCTAAAATTAAGCTTTTAATTTTTTTCATTACCGTATGCGGTCGGTAAGGTATTTTTTTCAACTTTTCAGGCAATATTAAAATTCAACAAAATATTAATTATTTTTAACTATAATTGAAATCGATGTACTTTGTATTTCTTTATAAATATAAACCTATTTTTTGTTCATTAATTAAGATTGTTCAACGGTCTCTGAAATTCTTTGGCATTTAATTATCGCCCTATAAAAACGGCACTGAACGTGAAAATTATAAACATTGATTTTAAAACACTATTTTCTCGAATTCTGAACACTTTTTATAAAATTGGACAATGTAGCAAGATTTCTTATCTTATAATTTTCCAAAATCGGAAAGATTTTTCATATCTACGCAAAAACGCGATAGCAAAATAGGAAATAAAAAAGTAATAATAATGACAGCTGCGACATAGTGCTCCCTGCATGCTTCTGACATCTAATGGCGGCAAGACGTAGTAAAACTAAAATTATATTACTTTTCTATTTCCAATTTTACGATCGCGTTTTTGCATGGATTTGAAAAATCTTTTGGATTTTGGAAATTTATAAGATAAGAAATCTTGCTACGTTGTCCGATTTTATAAAAAGTGTTCAGAATTCAAGAAAATAGTGTTTTAAAAGCAATGTTTATCATTTTCACGTTCAGTGCCGTTTTTATAAGGGGATAATTAAATGACAAAAAAATTCAGTGACCGTTGAATATTCTTAATCAATATAATCTGAACAAAAAATAGGTTTATTTTTATAAAGAAATACATAGTATATCAATTTCAATTATTATTAGTACTAAATTAGTTAAAAATAATTAATATTTTGTTGAATTTTAATATTGCCTGAAAAGTTGAAAGAAACTACCTTACCGACCGCATACGGAAATGAAAAAATTAGAATAACTTCATTTCAGCTTAGTTTAAAAGTTAATATTAATTATTTTTAATTAACTAGTACTAATAATAATTAAAATTGATATACTTTGTATTTCTTTATATTTGCACTATGAATATCAACCTATTTTTTGTACAGATTATAATGATTAAATAAAATTTGAAAAAAGTCCATTGAATACTAAATGAGAATTCATAGGCCAAACTTTATCTGTAATAAATAATTATTTATTACATTATATATTGTAATTTTGATATGAATCAACTCTATAATCATCCATTTACCTCTCAAAATGCATTTTTCCTTCATATTTAGTCGATTTATCAAGTCTTTTTTGAAGAAACCAAAACATAACCGAAAGTTAACCGAAAATTAACCCAGCTGGGTTAACTTTCGGTAAATAAAAATCGCCAGGGAATTAATAATTTAAAAATTTTTAATCTATCTATATTAATCAAATCAGACTCTTGTCCGTACATTGCTCAGAATCCAAAATTTTTGACATAGTTTGTCGTTATGAACAATAAGGAGTCCAAAAATGGCCATAAAAAAACTTGTGAATACTATATTATTCGACCATTTAACACGCATCAACATTCCCCAAATCGTATCTGACAAAACGCATTTTGGTCCGATATCGGATTCTGAATTTTAGAAATTTTTTTATTATTTTTTATATCAAAGAAAGGTAAAATTAAAATAATTTAATAAATAATGAAAATTAAATTTTTTAAACAATTTTTTAAATTTTCATTTCAAAAATTCCTTATTTTTTAATTTTTATAAGTGATTTCTTTCTTTACACAACCCTTCCACATTGTTGAATCCTGTCCCCCTCATGTCGATAGTGAGAGCGATTGAAAATAGCGCCACACTTGGGTGTTAATATAGACTATGTCCTATTTAAAAGGACTGACATCGTTACCGATGTCAGTACCAACATCGTTTCTGATATAATTCCCGACATCGGATCGGATGACGGTTCTTATATGTAATTCCCTTTTTTCAGTGTAAACCGCAATTGGCATAAATTTCATTTTACATAAATCTTATTTCACATAAAACTTAGTTGACATAAATTTTATTTTACATAAATCTCATTCGGCATATAACTCATTTAACTTAAATATCATTCGTTATAAAAATTGTATTATCGCACCTCGTCTTACACACCTGATTCATGTCAAAAGAGCTTTGTATCAAATGAGTTTTATGTTAAACTAGCTGTCGACCCCGCCTTCGAGTGCGTAACCGATAGTTTTTTCGTACAAAAAGTATTATTATTTACATACAAGGAACACTGGGTAGATGTGTTTACCCCTAAATTCATGGGAGTTGGTGGTAAAAATGCTACTGTTTAATTCCATTTTTCGTGCTAAATTATTATTGAGCAAAAAAAATTTTTTTTATTGAATTTTTCTTTATATTGTGAAATTTCTATATTTCCGTAAAAACTTTAGGGGTGGTTTTCACCTCTTAAATATTCACCATTGCCAATAAAAAAATATATGTGTTGATTAGTTTTTCGAGTACTACAACATATATCAAGATGAACGAAATCGGAGGGGAACACCTACCCAGTGTTCCTTGTTAGTATTTTCATCAGGATCGTCTGTAAATTGCTCAGAATTTATTTACATTGCTTCAAAATTATGTAAATATTTTATTGTTATTTAACTAAAATCAATGAAAACTTATGTCTTCCTTAAACTTAAATTCTGATTTCCCAATGGAAAATAAACCATTCGTTTAATATATCACCATGATATCACCATGATATGACTGTGATATGACTGTGATATCACCTTGATGTCACCATGATATCACCTCGATGTCACCGTGTGATATCACCGTAAGGCGGACAGTTTCCTGATGTCACGGTGATATTCCCCGGTGATATCACCGTAATATCTGGTTGATATATCCATACAAATTAATAGTTTTTAATCGGGTATGGCAAATATTTTAAGTTAGGCTAATATCTAAAAGACTGCCAAGTTTCACTTCAATTGGTCAATACACGGAGAGAAGGACATATAGTATAGTTCTATTATCATGCCAAAAGAATTTACTAATCAGAATCGTTATTTTTTTACTGAATAAAAGAAAGGTTTTTTACAGTTGTACAAGACGTACTGAATAAATAAATACATGTTACTGAAACATAATATATAGCTCTACTGTCCGTTCCCATGAAAAGTTTCTCACTAAAACAGAGATTTACCAAATCTATTCTCTCCATGTATGTACTTAAAAAACGAAAGCTGTCAATAAAGGTATCAAAAAATTCATGTACTAGAGTATCTTTTATTGTTAGTGACTATTCAATTGAGACTAATCATTAGAAATATTAATAGTTTTTCATCAGGAAAATTTTGAATTATTAATTATTGACAATAATTAGAAGCTTCGTTATCATTCCAAGCATTTGTCAATGAGTTGACAAAAGTTTTTCTGAAAAACGAATATAAAATGATTGGGTAATGTAAATTAGAAAATCATTATTGGAGTGATATTGGTCTGTCTTGGTTAACTCTTGTTAATTTTCCATTGCATTCTGACATCCTAATAAAGAAAACGAGTTCCTGACATTTTCATGATAAATGAGATTTTTAAACCACGGAGTTCGCTATAACATGTTTAATGATGCCAAGTAGGTTCGCTGTACTGATGTATTTAAAGGCAATGTAATTGCCGATTATAATTGTTTTAAAAACTTTTATATATTCTAGCTGCTTTTTAAGAGCACGTTTGTTTAAATATCTCAGTTTTATTCCGAGTGCAGGTACCCATTTTCTTCATCAAGACCCTAATGATCAGTCTCAAGTTCAGTACTGCCAATAAGAAACGGTCCGGTGTAAATACTTGTTATAGAAAATTTTATAAGTATTAGTATCCTTCCAGTGCACTTTACTATTCACTGCAAACATAATACTCGCTTAGACACTATCAATTAACAAAAATGTTATATTTTTGTTTACAGTTAATAATTCTTCTATATCAGAGCAGCATAGAGTCCATCGAAGAGAATCCAAATGTCGGCAACAAATTCCTTTGATAAACACTTGCTTCAGCTTATGCGTGAAAATCTAGCTTAAGATAAATTTTTAGTCTTTTAATATTAAATTTCACTGGCAATTTTATTAATAATTCTAAATTCACTTATAAAAAATATTCTGTTCACTAGATTAAGACTTAATAAGAATAAGTCTACCACTTCAAAAACACCACATTTATATCCACATATTCACACACATGCATACACATATTTTCCTAAAAAAATTATCATCTTTCTTTAACATTATTCAGATTTATTTTCACATATTCTTCAACAAATATAATCACTGAAATAAACTTTAATTTGTTTTACGAAATTTCTACTAGTTGTTACTAATTTCAAATTTTACTTTGTTACTAATAAAGCTGAAAAGATATTTACTGGAAGGAAACGAGTGAAATTGATGCACGACGCGGTGTGCAGAGAAATCAAAGAAAAAAACCTTCTCAGCAATGCGATCGGAGTATACGAGGCGATCTGGACAAAGCTGAAGTCAGTACTAACTGAGTACCAGTACGAGGAGTTTGGTCTGCCCCATCGCCAAGGTTGGTAGGGGAATGGGCCCCTTTGCCGGGACTACACTACCACTACGAGAGCGTAAACGTGTCTTAGCTAGCGCGGACGAGGCCTTTCCAACTCATCTCCTACCTCATAGCAACCATATTTATCTGGCATGAAAGAAAGGTTTATTTCATGAATTGTATAAAGCCATTCAATTTGATATCAAACACACATTGCACCTCTCACGAGTGATGTATGCATATTGACAGATCAAGTTTAAACAAATGCTACCTTACGTAAAATTTCTAATAGAATCTTAATATTTGTATATTTCTAATTGTTTATGTTATTTTGAAATAAGAGTTTTGAATTTGTTTGCTATACACGGGAAAAATAAATTCAGTGAATTTAAAACATTACTTTTTGGACCTACGGATACAGCCGTTGACGAAACTAAGTTCTGTAAAATATATATAATAAATATAAGGGAATAGCCTCTAGAAAAGTTTATTATTTAAAAACTTTTCTATGAAATTAATACTGTAGCAATATAGCAATATTTACTATAGTAATTTTTCTGGAGTTTATCCGTAATTTCCTAAATTTACAGGGTGTCCAGCGATTCTTGAAAAAAAAATTCCAGGACTTTGGGAGCGTTCACAAATTACGTAACGTTTTTTTTTAATTTTGACCCCCCCCCCTCCCCATGTAACACGTTATTGCATACATTAGCGCCATTTTTTCTGCTGTCCGTAACAAAGTGCTTGACCACTTTTGGCGTAAAAACTTGGAAAAAATGTTATTTGGGGTTTTTACCTATGGAATTTAATAAACATGATAGTAAGTTAATTTAATTTTTTTTTTTTTTGAAAAATAAAATTTTTTAAAAAAGTGTACTTTTCTCTTAAATCGAGGTACGGAACCCTCGGTTTCAATGCGAGTGTAACTTGCATTTGTCCGATTTTTTTTCTTTCAAGCGTGCTTCTTGGTATAATGAATAAGCATTCCTTACAGAATACAAAAAATTTACTTCGTTAAACTGTCCACAACAAAAAATCAATATAATTTTCAAAAATTTTAACAATTCAAGGTTTTGCTACAAATTTCAAGGAGATTTCAAGGTTTTCAAGGTAAAAAAAAATCTAGGAAAATTCAAGGTCGCTGGACACCCTGATTTATTTTTTCATGTATACACATTTGGATTCAAGTACGTTTCTTATGTTCTCCTAATTGAATTTTAAACGGTTCAACTATATTTTATTTGGTTTTTATGTGATTTTATAACAAAGCCATAATCTCTGAACCTGAAATAGTGATACTAATATAATTATACCACTAATAGGGAGGTCGTTTCTTTGATTTTTTCGCAAAATCAATTCTTCTTAAATAAAACATTCAATGTTTTTATTATCTCTTGCCTACTTAACTCAAAACTATATACCTATATAACTATATAATGAAGAGTACTAAATTAGTAAAAAAATATGTACGTTCAGAGTTAAAAAAATTTTTTAAGTAATTTTTATGACCTTGTATAAATGGGATTACGCAACATTAAAAGATTTAATATTAAAATTTCTAGAAATTTAATTTTTGTCGAAGTAATAAAAAAAAGAAAATAGAAAATAAATGATATAAGAAAAATGTTACAACAAAATTATGATAAAATGTAATGCGAGTTTCGCGTTCTGGAGTTCTATTTTACTTTTAAAATAGAGAGTTGTAAAATATTAAAAATAAATGTAAAAGAGAATTTAATTTTTAAATATTTTACGTTGCATACAAAAATTTTGTACTCTATACAATTACAGTGTGCAACAATAAAATGTTAATTTTTTTGTTGTTTTCACTAAAACTAATTAAAACAAGAATACCATTTACTGGATTTGTTGATATTACTACCCTTTTACTTTTTTTTATGCGTTTGAAGGTCTCAAATACGTATTTTAGCATATTTTTATTTAGCATATTTCAAAGTCTTAGAACTACATACTACAAAAGAATTTTTTCGTATTTTATATTATTTCTTTCATCTTTTATATCTGTTAAATAGATTCTGTAAATAAGTTTGTGAATTAGTCTTTTATTTTCATTGCTATACAACTGTTCCTTTATCCTTTAATGGAGAAAAGCGGTTTCACAGAAATAAAACTATTCAAGTGATACTCACTAAATTGAATGAAAGTATAAAAATTTCATAGAGCTATGAAAGAAAAGAAATTTTTTCAAATCGGCAAAATTTCGGAAATCACCCTTTTAGAAGGGGGAGAGGGTTAAAAACAAAAATTTTAAACAAGTTGTAAATTCAGATGTTCATTACATGAACATTTTGCTTCCTCTTTACGATCAGCAAAAAAATTTGCTTCCTCGTGGAGAAAACAAAATTTTATTGCCAAAATGTGAATTTTTGATTTTTTAACTTTCATTAATTCTTTAAATTTACCTCAAATGTATACTTTATATATATCGATCGATTCGTCTTGACGTAAGGAATACAATTATTTCATATATAAACTTCAATTTAAAAAATCACAAAATTTTATAGCCAAAATGTGAATTTTTGATTTTTTAACTTTTATTAATTCTTCAAATTTACCTCAAATGAATACTTTATATATATCGATCGATTCGTCTTGACGTAAGGAATACGATTTTATTATATATAACCTTAAATTTTTCTATTTAAAAATTTTTTCGATTAAAAAAAAATTTTTGGAAAAAAGGCGATAAAATTTTTTTTTTGGGATATTTTTCAAAATCCTTTGGTCAGATTTGAGATATTAATATGATAAATGAGCCTACCAAATTTTATCTAAATCCATTAAAACCTGTTAAAGTTATCTTCTAAACAAAAAAGGGATCCACACACACACACACATACATACATCCGGACAATTGATCAGGATCTCATATAACATGTTTCTATAAAGAAAAAAATTTGTTTCCGCCACTTTGAAAAGTTTTATAAACGAAAGGACTACAAAGCTTCCTCCACGAGGAAGCAAAAACTATTAAATTCCATTGAGGTTTGCTACTCAAGGGTTTTAGGGCTCGCTGATTATGAATCCGAAGTCAGTTTTTCAAAATTCAAAATGGCGAATCTAATATGGCTACTAAAAAAATTTTTTGGTTGACATACTGGATCGGCTGTTTTGAATTTTTAAAATTATACTTTATTTTCATAATCAGCGACCCTAAAAACCCCCGAGTAGCAAATTTCAAGCGAATTTATCACTAGGGATCATGGGACACTTCCATGATGGGCGACTATATGGAACTTAATGCGTGAGGATACATCTGAAAAAACAAAAAAAATCATAAAAAATATTCACTTTTAAGCTAAAATGTCTTTTCTAAGTGAACTTTTCTTTTATTTGTGTAAATTTAAATAAAAAATTATGTTTAAATTAATTAATTTCATTATTCGTAAACTAATAGCTGAAACACCGAAAAGTGTAAAAATCACAAAACTTTACATTTAACATAAACACTTAGTACTTTAAAGGTATAATAGGGATTTTTTTCCATATTTTATGAAGTTTTAACGAAAAAAATCAAGAAAGTCACTTAAACAAAACTTTTTTAAAATTTTGTCGCACAGTGTTATTTGTGTCATTCAACAGAAATATAATTGAAAATCAATTGAGTAAGCGACAAAATTCAAGTTACTCAAAATGATTCTAGCCAGAATTTTAATAGGTTTCATAACTTCCAGAGTTATTTTGAATTATACATTTTTGATGCATTTCAAATTAATCCTAGGTTTTTTCTATGAATGTAAAGCACTTGCGAATTCAGATCACAAGACAAAAAAGTAATCTAAAGTTCGAACACTTGAAACAGCATGATTCGAAATAGTTGGAGAGGATCAAGCGCCATGTATCCGACTGCAACGCTGCATCACAGTGACTAGAGATATAAACAAGCTTAACAGGTGGCATTCGCAACGGATGAATCAAGGAAATGTATCTTCCTCGCGATCGACCAATCTTCTTAAATATTCGCCTTATGCTTGCTTCTAAAAACACTATTTAACTAATGTATAAATAGTAATACAATATATTAAAATGAAATGTCAACTTTATTTTGATAATTACGAATCTATCTTTTGATAATTTGTATTTTTAACACCCATAATAGAAAATCACAATGATTGCAACTTGTGCATTTTTCAACAACAACTTACATATTTATGTAACATAATTCGCAACATTTTTTTAAATTTTCACTCACAAAATGAAAGATTTATTTAATTAAATTTAAAAAAAAACAATTACTAAGTTCGAAACATAAATATTATGATATAAAAAGTGACAGATATTTTTCGGATATCTCCACACGAAAAAAAATCTAGAGATGCGAACGAGCGATATTGGAAATAAAGCTGAAATAGAAATACATACAATTCATTTTTAGAATCTATTCAGCTATTGCCAGTAATTTTTTTCAAAAGAATTGGCACGTTTTATGTTATCGCTGAAATGGCAAATTTCCTTTATTAAGAAATTATCTATTATTTTTAAATAACAGAAACAAACAAGTCTTTCAAATAAAGCAGCAAAATATACATCGAACAGCGCCAGACATGTAGTCGGTTTAATCATGCGAACATCAGTAATTTGGCGATAGTCAAAATCCCTATAGTACAGTGTGTGAGTGCATCGAAAAAATTAAGATGGCCGCAAGTAATTAATGTGTAATACAAATTCTTTTAAATCTAATTTCAATTCAATCAAAATTCATCGATATAAAAATTTTTTTTAATGTGAAATCCACATTATAAAACTTTGCTGAATAGAAATTCAATAATTTAAGATTTGACGCCGCAGAAATTCTTATAAGTTAAATGTGAGGATTATTCATAGGTCCCAATAATTTTTTCAAATAATTCATTGTTTTATTTTAAAAAATTTAATTTTTTTCGTTTAAATCAATTATTTATTTCATCGAAATATTTTTAATAAAATAATGTATTAGCAATAAATAATAAATTATTTGTATTAATAAATAATTTACTTTACGTGAACCATTAAATTAAATTTGTTGTATCAAATAATTTTTATTTATATTAAAAAAACAAATATTTCACTGAAAACATAACCTCAAATTTCAAAATCCGTAAATTATAATTTTGTAAACACAAGATATGATTTAACAAT